TGCATAATATGCTATTACCGATCGGGTAGAGAGCTTTTTAGAGAAGATTTTTTTTTGGAAGCTAAAATAACCCATAAAAAAGTTTAAAACATTTTTTTCTGTACGTTTGATGCTCCCAACTTCTAAAGTTTAAATATGAGTATGGACTTCGAATTTCCTGTCAAATCTGTCAATTCGTGGAAACAGGAAATAGAAAAGTTATAGCTGTCTAAACGGACTATACGGGGTGTTTTCTAATAGAATTTCAATAATTAAGGGGCGATTTTTGGATCCATTTTAAAAAGAGAACTGAACATGTGCCATAAACGTCTTAGCTTTTGAGATACATAGTGGAAAAGTTTTCAAAAATAATATATATTTAATAATACCACTTTAGATATTTGAATGAAATCTGGCACACCTGTACTATGTATCAAGATTCATTATTTTGTTTTTAAATACACCAGTGACAGGTATAGGTCTATGTCTATTTTGGCAGACATTAATGGTAAGCCACTGATTTCTCTTAAATTAAATAATCCAATCCTTTCTAAAGAAATGTAATTTATTGATTCTTTTCAATCGGATTAACGGTTTTCGCTAAAAAAAAATTAAAACCTCTTCTCTGCGTGGTCATAACAATATTTTTAATATAGTAATAATATTAAATAAATCTGATATTCTAACTGTGAATTCAGTAAAACATTATTTAAAAGTTCGTTTGTCTATATTACAATAAACCAGTGAATGATCAGATATGTGATATGTATTCATTAACTGGTATTCTACTTTTTTCATTTATTAAATTAACATTACTTATAGTGTAAGTAGTACTTGTTTTTAAATAATTATTCCAATTTATCTATCTTCACATTCTTCTTATTTCTCTTTACATTCAATCACAAAACCTGCCTTTCTATTGTAGGCAAATTTTGCCTCATTTCTGAAGATGTTTCCATGTTGTTATAACAGCGGCGCCCATCTTTTTTCTCAATTTTCTTCTGTTTTTCGTACATCGCTAGGAAACATGATAAGCATCCGAAATTTAAAACTATCGGCTTGAAATGTGAGGCACGGATAGACTTCAGTCTTCTAACGGAACCTATTGAAACGGGGTAGCTAGGGGGGCGGGAAGTATTTTTAAAAATTTAACAGGGGTTCGAGAAAAAATCGTTTCTCGAAAACGGTACGAACGATCGAAAAAATTCTTTAACGAAAAGACACGGGAGATCTGGGTTAAAGACTTTTGCGCGGGTAATTTGCAAAAAACTAAAGAATGGGTTAATCTTTTAATGAAAATTGGTCATAACTAGAAGACGATGTCAATGTTTCTTAAACAATTATACAGTGTGTTTTCTAATTGAATGTCAATAATTAAGGAGGTTATTTTTGGGCTCATTTTAAAAATAAAACTTCATTTAACTTTCAAGATACGGGGTGTTAAATTTTTAAAAAAAATAATTATATAATACCACTTTAGATATTTTAATGTCATTTGGCGGCATACATAGACTATGCATCAAGAGGCATTATTTAGTGTACCACATTTTTTAAAAATACTAACAAATTTGCATATTATTTGTTCATAGACAGTCATTGGCATGCCACTGCATTCATTTAGGAGCCAACACGTCAGTCTCTGATTGTTATATTAACAATATTGTTATGACCATGCAGAGGCGAGGTTTTTATTTTTTTAAGAGAAAACCGTTCATCGCATTGAAAAGAATCAATAAAAAATACATTTATTTAGAAAGGATTGGTAATAATATTTTTAATATAAGAAAAATTAGTGGCTTACTATCAGTGTCTGCCAAAATAGACATAGAGATAGACGTGCCACTGGTGTATTTAAAAAAAAATGTGGTACACAAAATAATGCCTCTTGAGACACAGTACAGGTGTGCCACATTTCATTAAAATATCTAAAGTGGTATTACAGATATTGAAAAAATATGTTTTATTTTTGAAAACTTTTCCACTATGTATTTCAAAGACGTTTAGGACATATTTTCAGTTTTTTTTTAATGGATCCAAAAATTGCTCTTTAATTGTTCTATTAGAAAACTCCCTAGACAGCTATAACTTTTCTATTTTCCGTTTCCACATATTGTACAGAGTGTTCGGGATATTTCGTGCTATAATATATAATACGTAATATAGTAAGTGTCTTAAATTAGCAGCTCTCGACTTCAGATTTGACAGGAAATTCGAAGTCCATACTCACATTTAAACTTTAGAAGTTGGGCGCGATCAAGCGTAGTGAAAAAAATGTTTGAAATTTTTTTTTGGGTTATTTTAGCTTCCAGAAAAAAAATCTTCTCTCAAAAGCTACCCGATCGGTAAAAGCATTTTTTCGATTTTATACTTTCATTTTAATTATTGACAAAAAGCCAAAAGACCCTGAAAATTTTTCTTTTCTGGAGTAAATTATTAGCCGCAAATCAAAATTCGTAAAAAATATGGCTATCTATCTATCTCACACGCTTTTCGAAATGTTTTGATTAATTGTTGTTGTTGTTGAGAGAGAGAGAGAGAGTTTCAGTTTTCGTTTATCATACATACATACGCTATTACTAGTTCAGATTTTTATATTTACTAAAGTTTGGCGTAACTTTGAAGTTCGACGGGACGCGAAAGCAACTTACGATCTGGAAACCCATAGGAGACACGAAAAAAAGTTTGTTGATACAGGGTGTCCTAAAAGTCTCCCTCGACATCAACTTTTTTATTTTGATTGGAACACCTTGTAGGTTTCGAGATTTTTGTAATCCTTTGTTAAAATAAATGTCATTTTCTTAAGAAATTCCTACTTGAATTTAGCATTGGTTAGGCAAAGATAGAGGTTATGTTTTTTTTTTAATTGTGTTGTGACGCTATTGATACAGGTATTGCAGCGAAAATTTAACTGCAGACTAAGAAGATGATGCACTACTCAATCAATTTGCCAGATGCGTCGTTTTTGCGAATTCAATTAACAAAATCTCAAGATTTTCAAATGGAACACACTATATTTTAATTTAGATATCAATTTTAGGACAAAAAATAAGGTAAGTTTGTAATTTATCTTATATTTAAATTTTACATACTTTTTCAGATATTTAAGGTTTAAGATAAACAGTCGCATAAATTCTTGTTGAGTTTAAAGCTTCCCACATTAGGTCACTTGTTGGCAACATGAGGTATTTTTTAAATAGCTTAGACATGATACTACTTCTTTTAAAGGTATAATACTCCAGATATACGAAAAAACCCTATTCCATGGTGCCCATTAATACGTGGAAATTAAAAAAAATCGTTTCTACCAGTTTAACAGATTCTGTAAATCTTTAGAATTCATATTTAAGGAAACATAATAAAGTGAATAATTAAAGTTTATAGGCTAACTAAACAAGGTAAGAAATTTGAATAAATCAATTTATAAAACAAAAATTTAACTAAAAAGAATTCTTTAATTCGATCCATAAAGTTTAGTTAAACATGTTCCTCTTAAAATGCTCGATTCATCTGGCATCAAAACAACAAAGAAATATCAAAATATTTAAAAATGTAGTTATGTATAAACAAACTTTGACATTTTTGTTTGTTTTTGTTATTTTTCATATTTCAATTTAAAAAATATGGAGTATTATGTCTTTAGAAGAAGTACATCATGTCTTTGCCATTAAAAAAATACCCAATATTGCCAAAAAGTGACCTAATGTGGGCAGCTTTAGATTCAACAAGACTTTAAATATAAGATAAATTACAAACTTCCTTATTTTTTGTCCTAGAATGGATATATGAATAAAAATATACTGTGTTCCATTTGAAAATCTTGAGATTTTGTTAATTGAATCCGCCGAAACGGCACCACCTATTTGGGACACCCTGTATAAGCTGAGGCGCATCTGTCAAACTGGTTGAGTAGTGCATCCTCTCCTTAGTCCGTGGTTAACTTTTGGTTGCAATAAATGGCTCAGTAACGTAATAACACAATTTTATGTGGGGCAACCAAAATATGCAAAATTCGAATAATAAATTCTTAAGAAAGTGACCATTTTTTTCACCAAGGATTCTTAAAATGTCGTAATATCCAGCATGTTCCATTTAAAATAACAAAGTTTATTTCGGGGCGGACACTTTTTGGACACACTGTATCAACAAAATTATAATACTTTAAATGTTCAGGAGAATCCAGGAATCTTTTGTACCAGACTATTCCGGGTATCCCCTATGAGTTTCCAGATCGTATAGTGGATCATTTTACTTGGCACACGGTGTACAATAAAATTATATCGATTCTGCGAAAGTTACATAGAGGCACAATAGAAATAAAATGCGTTCCTCTTTAAGACAAGAAGCATTTAAAGTACAAAGCTGCGTTGCAGCGACAAGATCGCGAAAGCAATCTCGTTGATCTCGATCAATCAATCAATTAGTTTTTACTTTTCAGTGATTATTGCTGAAAAGTTCCTTTTTTTGTCCGCATATGTTTACTACCGAGCAAGTAAGCTCATTTATTTGTTTAGTTGACAAGAGAAAATGCTTAGAATGGCATCGGACTTCGTATTAGCTGCAACATTGAACTTGCAAACTTCTCCTTGGTGCAGGGAAGCCTTTTTTTCAGCACTAAATTTCGCGGTACGTTATTTGCCACTTTTATGAACCCAATTTTAGACGAAATTCGGGCCATTTATTTCATAAATTTGGAAAACTTCTTTTACTAACCTTTCAGATTGTTTTGTCAGTGTATCAAATCATTAAAATCATTTTAGTGTAAAACGTTAAAAGGTAATTTAAAACTAAGGCGACTACCGGAAGCGACCTTTTTAATGAATCAAGTTGGGCCTTAAGAGAAGGAAAAATATTAACGAGTAGACTAGGTGTTCCCTAGCATGCACGTGCCGTATCCCCGCGTGTTATATTGGGCGAGTTAAAAGGAATAGCCACACAATAGCGGGCCCGTGAAATCGGTCCCGAAACAATAGAGGACGCAAGATCGACTCAGTTTGAAACGTGGACTTGGACGGAGCGAGTGAGGACAGGCGTGCGCGGAACGCAGCTTAACGGGAAATTCGCGTTTTTTTCGTTTTTCGTTCGTTAGTGGCACCTGTTGATTGAAATACGGAAACAAGGAAAAGGCCAGGCAGAGTTCAATTATTGAATTCCGGCGGTGAGGTAGGTCGAACACGTCAGCGTGATACTTGATAATTGATTTTTAATTCAGAGAAAGATATTTTTAGTTATTTTAGTTTATAATAAAAAAGGCAATTGTGGTAATTTTTCAAACAAACTTCCAGAGGCTACTGTAATACCACTTACAAATGTTCTGGATTCTTCCGGCGTCGGTTGTTTATAAATAAAACTTGCTGACGTTTCGCCAATCATCCTGTTGGCTTCTTCAGAGCTTAACTACAACTGGTTCGCTTCCCACTACTCACATGTTGTTTAAGAGGGGCGGGGCTAAAGGAGGTTAATGGACACTGTTTCGGATTATTGAAGAATAGATTAATGAATGCTCTTTGAGCCTAGTTGATATTATTCGTCCTCACTTTCCAATGTATTCTTTGCCGCACATCATGGAATGCTGTAAACTCCTGCTGTCTCAAACAGAATTTTATGTTTGACTGATCGATTTTTGGACAAGTTGTAAATATGGTTGTGACGTTATATTTCTTAGGAAATTTTGTGATGTTTTGAATGTAAAGAAAAACAACAGTGGCATGTGTGGGGTTGCTTTCGAACTCATCTTTGGAAAGTTGTGGTGAAGTGTATTTTGTGATGGAACGTGTAATATCTCTAATGTCGAAATTATTAGAGAGAAGGGTATAGTGACTCGGGTATAGTGAGAGTGTTGATAACCGATGATTTTTGGGCCGAATAGTGATGTGACGATGCATTAAGATATCGGTCGGTGTGCGAAGATTTTCTGTAAACAGAATGATCCAATATTGGGTTTAATTTTCTATTAACAAGAATATATAAGAATTGGAGATTATTGTTAGTTTCTAGTTAAATGATTAAACGTATGTTAGGTTGTATAGAGTTTAAATGGTTAAGACAATTTGGGAGGTATTCTTCACCATGAGTTCAAACAACAGAAGTACCTTTCTGAGTTGCGGATATGATCCGTATGTAAGAATATCTTGAATTTTGTTCATGGCCAGCGTGGCATTTCCTTTATATGGTTTTAGGATTACGATACCGGGATTAGATTTCAGAGATTTTACAGCAAAGCGTCTAGGCTTTGGGACGTTAGATTTAAGAGGTTTGAATTTTTTAAAGGTTTCGCGGTTTCAAATCGACTTTCATTAGCTGTCTGAGATGTCAGTCTGTTTAGGATGGACTCAGTATGGGGGATAATATGTGGGCCAATGTCGAAGTTGGAACATTTTGGAAGTTGGAAGCGATTTTTCCGTGAAAGCAGGTGCGATGATACATTTACCAGAGAGTTTGATGGTTTCACTAGTATTGACGTTAATTTTCTAAATTTTTGAATTTGATTAGAGGTAGAAGATAAACGAAGATTTTCAACTTTGTCATGAGTCAAGTTTGAACTTGTTGTAATATATAAGTAGATAGTAGTAGTTAGATTTATAAACAACCAACTCAGGCGGAATCCAAAAGGTTTTTAGAGTAGAGTAGAGTAGACTTTTATTCACTAATACCAATTTAACAAAGGAAAGTTGCGTCGAAAATAAAATCGCAATGTGTCTAAATATTTCGAAAATTTAAAAACAATAAATATTATATAAAACAAATATAAAATTTTTCGTGAAAAAGACCAACAATTAGCCAAATTGTGTCACGAAATACAAACTTTTTTTAAAAATTTTTATCTATTATTCATATTACTCATATAATTTTCGTATTCAGATAGATTATAAAATACATTTGTTGTCAGTAAAGATTTAACATATTTTTTCTTTTGCTCTACGTTTGTAGTTTCAGCGTGAAACATTATAGTATATTTTGCCGGGAATAAAAAGGTGGATGTTATTTTTATTTCTTGTCTAGTAAGAGTGTTTGTTTCAATGTTGTCTTAATTTTTATGTATATGTATATGAGTGGTATACATTTAAGGAGGATTTCAATTTCAGCTGTAAATTTTAAATGGTATCACGTAATTCTGCTGTTTATGCGTTTCTTACTAAGTGTTCGATTTTTCACAGGCCGACTTGTCAAGTATTTTAAACGTAAAAATTTACTGTGAACGTGCGGTCTAGAATGCCTCGTTTTCGAGATGCAACTTGTCCAAGTTTTATATTTATTTTGTCTTTGGGTCTTTGGTTTCCGTAATCGAGTAATAAGAAAATTTACAGCGCTGTAAAAAGTTTACAGTTTCGAGGAAGACCGTCCGTGAAAGACGAAAACAAAGACGAATAAAACGGACCCCTAAATCTATTAAAGCTCCATCGAGAACATGCGAGTCGGGGTTATAAAAAGGTGTTAACGGGGGAAGCTTCACGTGCGCCCCCACTCCCTCCCGGGTAACGGTGCTTTTCACGTCGTAAACACTTCTACCGAAATCGACGGCGCAAGAAGTCAACAAACGTCTACGGGAATCGGAATTTAGTCGATGGAATTTGATGTAAAAACCACACTATATAGTTTATGCAAAATTACGTCTTGTTTAAAGTTCTACTTTAGCGAAATTATTAATTAATATGTTTTACTTTTTCACCCACTACGATGGTTAGCAAATCAACCCAATTTGTAGAAATGTTTTAATATAATTAATAAGGCATCCTATGGGTCTCCACCAAGGTCCACAGGGTTGGGTCAAGTTTCAAGATCATATTTGTGCAGAAATTACAAAACGTTCCTCAAAAGGGGCCTCTAAAGATTTGCTAGTTGGGGTTTGAAGAGATATAAAAACGCAGAGGCTTATAAACCTCTATAGCGTGGAGTAAAAAAATTACTGAAAATCCAATTTTTAAATTAGTTACATTTTGAATTGAATTGAAATGAATAAATTTAACAGTTATTTGGTTTATTCAGTATACCCTCATTCTTCATTGCTATGAAAGGCGGGAGAACGTTTGCGGGGCTAGAAGGCTGTAGTTAAAAGTTAACAGCGTAACAGAAGAAAATGCAGCTATACCTAGAAGGAGTAGTAAAATGCAAACTACCCATGATTAGGACAAGTGTAGTAGGCCTGTCTAAACTAAACACGTAAAATTTGTGCTCTCCAAAAGTGATACAAAAGTGATTCTGCACGGAAGTTCATAAATATAATATAAAGAAATGGTTATTTTCGGTACTGAAACAAAAAAAATTACCCTTGTGTGATAAGATACTCTCAAGTACGTTCCGAGGCCTGCTATATACAAACTCAGCCGGAATATAAATAAAGCACAGAAATGGTACCAAATGATGAAATCTTTGAACTGTTGAAAAGCGTACTGGATAGTAATGACAAAATTGGCAAAGATGTACCGAACCGAAAAAAATTCAAGGAAGAACTCAAAAGCTCGAAAGGAAAAGTTTTCACAGTTTGGAAGCAGAGAATTTAATATTAAAGGAATCTATCTTGAGTCAAAACAAGAAAGGCAAAAGGAGGAACATAATAATTTTTGGACTCCCTGAAGTTCAAAATATTTCAGAAGACATTCTGCTTGAGTTTTTTAAAGGAAAACTTCAAGTTGATCTCAGGAAACCAGACATTGATAATTTTGAAATAACAACTGTGTTTGATAGATTAAACATTTTTATTATTATTAAACAGGGTAAATAACTTAAAAGTTTCGCGAAGTTCAGATAAAATGTAATGATTAAGAAACCTACTATTTACAAGACAACTTCTTTTGTAAATTATGGTTAGTTACGAGTGGTTAGATGAATAGTCGCCGGAGTCCAGAGAGGTAATAAGTTGCTCTACCGTGTTTTCTAGTGCTTTATTAACTTCCCACATTCTTTTATGTATTTCATTCGTATGTACGACGCACTTACTCCATTATTCACAAGAGGGTTTCAACATGCTTTGCTTTGCTACTTGCGCCCGTACCAATTCTATGGGGATTAAACCACAGCTGAATGGAGAAGAAGGAGGGAGAAGAAGTACTGTATATGTTGAAGTCGTCTTCAAAAACATTAGTATTCATGTCTTCATGACAGTCCTCAATCCGTTTTGATTGAAATACTAATAACGTGAGTAGTTATTTACTCCAGAGGACCTCCTTCTATGAAAGCTTGCCTCGCGCTTTTTAATATTTATCCCCATGTTTGACCAACATGATAGATATTTCTGTTTTCCCTTCTTCGTGTTGCTTCTCCTTTATCGGAGGTTTGCAATCACCATGGCAGTTCTGACCTTAGAAACCGCTGCTCTGGAAAAGACCTGCAAAAGACGTGTTGAACCATTCTTCTCCCAGTTGACCTTCTGTCCACAATCTTTCTCTTTTTAACACCTTTAACTCTTTGTTCATTCTCATCGGTACTTCTGCGTTAGTGGTGTGCTACACCCACGATATTCTGAGCCTTCTTCTGTTCTATTGTGTTATGGGTCCAGTTTCTGCGCCATAGTACAGCACCAGAAATACATAGCACTTTTATGTGCGTATTCTATAATCTAGGCTCAGGTTACGGCTATAGAGCATCTTTTTAATTTTGAGAAAAGCTGCATATGTCTATTATATAGTTATAATCTGTGACCTGTAATCATCCTCTGTCTACATAGAGCTGTTTTGTGTTATAATCATGTATTTGGTCTTTTTTGTATTAAACGTTGCACGAAAACGTTGACGACCCTGTTTAGCGGTTTATTAATTATATCGTCACCATCAGCAGATTTTGTCCTCTTCTTTCAAAGTTTTAGTTTTTCATTTCAGAGATTAAAACGAGTGTGTATTATTCTTGTCTTCCGTTCCTCTTCTTTTTGGACTTTTCTTCGGTGAAGTATATATTGACAGATCAACTCTCAGTTTTACTCAGAAGAATAGCCATTTTTAAGAACGAACTTTGCCAACAACTGTGACAAAGTAACTAAGGCACTTGCTACACATATGGAATACTGCTAACCCCACTAGGTTTTAAAATTCAATAGTGATCTATAACCCTCTCGCATTGAGCAACAACAATACGTTTTTTATATTTAGCTACCTACAAAACTCGCATCTATGCCCCGTCCTATAACACGAAACTAATTAAATTTTTTTTTCAGGAAGAAGCCCTCGAAGCCCTGTCATCCGCGCCGCAGGAAATTATCGCGTCGCAAAACTAAAACTAGCGCTTTGTGGAAATTTATCTAGCGAGAATGTAACCAACTTCAGAAGGAACCCTGCCTTTTGAACTCGATTGCGTTTAAATATGAGTGCCGTCGAAAGTGGAGTTTGCAGTGTGCCGACAAAACTCCGGGCAGCCCGGCTAGTTCTCGTCATTTTTCTTCTGGAGGAAATATCAGGTTAGTATCTTGTGTAAATATAGCAGAGTAAAATGATATTAAAATGTGCCGGTATAATGTTTTGAAGGAACGTTTTTTGAGCTACTATAAAGAAAACTTATCAAAACAAACCAGTAACAAAGCCTTCAAAACTAAATATTTATTTATTAACAATAACACAACTCTGCGTTTATATAGTAATAAGAAATATAACAAAAATAAATAAATAAAAACACATAATAACTAACTAGACGGGTCCACAAAAAGACAATTTCCATGATTTAAATATTTGAGTTTGGGGGTATCTTGCACAAAGACCATCGATAACAACGAAACACAAAACAATTTGACAATGCGGTTTTGCTTTTCCATTAAGCGTTTTTTATATGAGAGGCAAATTGTGTTACTGAGAGCTGCTTCATATGACCAGGCAAGGAATTCCATATTCGAACCGCAACAAAAATAAATGGCTGTTTAAAAGCAGCCGTTCTGTGCTTAGGAACCCTGAAGTCATTAACATTTCTAGTGCCATGAGGATTGAAACAATCATTGAACTGCTGCCTAAGATATGCGGGTTGAGCGGAGTTGCTAAAAGCAAACTTGCGACTAGTCATATTCAAGAGTTTTGAACTTTCAGTATAGCATGAGTTGTGCGAGTATTTACTGAGCTCCCATAAACAACATCCGCATAAGCAAACAAAGGCCAGGTGAGACTATCGCACAAATAGTATTTAGTTTTAGCTGGCAAAACTTTCTTATACTCGTAAAGTTTTTTAAACGCATGTTATATTAATATGTGATTGAAAAGCAAGATATTTGTCAAAAATTACTTCAAAATTCTTGGCTTCTGTAGCGATGGGTAAATATTCATTATTATATAAAGCCCAAAACTCCCCGTTATTTTATATTTCATGTTTTTATTATTATTAAATAGAGGCATCGAGTTTGAGATTATGGTCCACGGAGTAAACAGATACACTATTCAAGTAAAGATTGAAGTTTATTAGAGAACGTTTTAAACCCTGCGTAGAACAAGAAATGTAAATATGGGTATCATTCGCATATTGCTGCGCATCACTGAATACTTTATACACTCATTCATATCTGCTATATAAAGACTAAACAATGAAGGTCCTAAAATTCAACTTTGGGACATTGCAATAGTGATTAGAGTATAGTTGGAGTTTTCTAGATTAAATTGCTTTCTAACTTCAACACAAAGCGATCTATTGCTCAGATATTGTTCCATGAACCTAAGAAATCCAGCTGAGACACCGAAATAATGAAGTTTTGCCGCATCATATTGTGATTGATCGTGTCGAAAGCTTGACTAAAATCCAAAAGAACCAAACAGGTGGCTTCCCTTCTATCTTCGTTGTGGCGAATATCATTTAATAACTTAACTATATTGGTATTTGTACTAAACCCTGAGTGGCAGTCTTGAACGATTTTGGCCAAATTTACGAAAGCACACATTTGTTCGTCCTTGTTGGGCTCTTTCAAAAATGAAATGGTTCCTCGTGCTATGGCAATTAAAAATTCCCGGGCCGTATTACAGTTGGCAAAACTGCATCTGACGTTCGGCATCGCAAGGATGCAAATGTTGAACAGTCTTAAACTTGTATGGATGGTATTTGTATTTTTTTTAAATTCTTTGGGCAGTCGAATTTGGTACCCCTACTGCTTGTTCTAAGTGTTTGCAAGATGATAACGGCGTTGCTTCCATGTAACCTGATACATTTGTCTCTCTTTGCTCGCTATTTTCCTTCAAATAATTTGTAGAACTTGGTTGAATAAAAGATTCGGACCTAACTAGATTTATTTTCAGGCGAGCAAATATATCTGGAAACGGTTGTCGTCTTTCTGGATATCTGATATAAACAAAACACGTTTCTATAATATGAAAATTATACTGACTATATCCCTTTGAAAACCTTACGTATGGTAATATTATTCCGAAGCTTATTGGTCATTTTCATTGTATTGTATAAAACATACCAACATATCCATATTTTTCGAAATTCTCGTACACTGCCATTATTACGAACACAAAAAGAATAAATGGATAGATAATAAAAATATAATTAAAAACTGAGTCTCGTAAGTTTTTGACACATTTGCTTTTTTGTTTTTAATGGATGCGTCATAGCTAACTATCTACTCAACATTATAATAACATAATATTTATCATATTAATAAGGCTTTATCATTTATAGAAAATATATTTTCATCTTATTTTTTCGAAATTAGGAAAAGAGTCTCTTGTATAGTAACTGTTTAGATGTATCTTGTCTTTAATTGGTTTACTATGGCCTACTGCTAGAAGTAAAGTGAAAAATGAAAAAAAAAGATATAATATATAGGGTGCTCCATTAAAAAATATATATGTTTGCTTCATAAGTAAAAAACGGTTAGAGCTAGTAAAACTACGCCACTGCATTATACAAAAAAAACTATATTAAACCACTCTTCAGTAACTCATAAGACAACGGAGATACGGGTGTGGTCCCGAAATCGATAGTTTTGGATTTCACCCTGTATCTCAAAAACCAAGGGGCAACGATAATTTCGTGAACGGCATCTTTAATTTCACAAAAAAGTAGCACAGTGTCGCATAAACCTGGACTCTCTATCTTTAAAAATAACTGAAATACCCCGTAAAAGTGTTCAAAATACCCGGTACAGCATTGATATAATTATACTGGAAATATTTCTAATGTGTTCAGTCGAACTATTGTTAATTCAAAAAAATGATTTTTTGGAAAAACTGGACGCTTAATGAACATCTACTTTATTTTACAGGGGAACAATTTGAATCTGTTCAAGGACAAATGTTTCAATCCAGCAAAAAGAACAAAAAAACGAAAAAAAAAAAGAAAATTTTGTAGTCCTAAACCAGTTTTTCACTTGTAAAACCTCACAAAAACAAAGCAAACTTTCTTGCTAACCATATTGCTATTTGGATGTACTTGTGATTTTATGAAATGGAGCACGACATTTTGTTAACCTGCGTCGAATAAAATTTCTGGTTAATCTACCTACATTTTGTCATACCTAAAAATCATATTGTGTATAACAACTGCGGGGATGCTCGGCACGCGGCAACATTGTCTCAACCCTTCAAAATACATATTTGCATCTCGTTAAAATGTAGACAATGACATCTACCTATACAGGGTGCCCCATAGTTAATATTGCATGAAAAAACAAGACATTCGTTGGGTAAAAATTTTTCGACATGGGAAATCCATTTTCGTGAATAATTTTGGGGTATTTTGTAGAGGGCGCTGCGTATAGTAGTTCTCGTGCATTTGATACTTTCTAACTTTTTTGCGCCTTAATGTGTGCAGATTTTTAATAAAAATATCAAAGATATATCTTTTAAATTTTGCATTTTTTTATACCATCAATTTTTAAATAACAATGCACATAACTGATCCAATATGGTAGCACAGACCTCAACAGCGATTTTAATATTATTTATTTTGAGATTTTTACAACAAGAGATTCAAAAAAACTTCGACGTCTATGAAAAGAATTTTATGGAACTTCAAATTTAATTTTAAACCAAAGTCAAATTCAAAAACTAATAAAAAAACAAGATTTCCATTCATGATGATGAATTTAGAGACACGTTTATTGAAAGATTGCCCGATTTTAAATAATAATTCTTCGTTGCGAAATAATTCAGGGGTATTTTCATGTACCATAATTCTTCTCGAGTATGAACTATTTCTTCATACACTAGAGACTTCATATATCCCCAAACCCAAAAATCAATAGGATTGAAGTCTGGACGCCTAGGCGGCTAAGCCCAAATAATCGGTAAATTAAGTTTGCAGAAAATTGAGGTACAGCTCTTCCTAACATGTAATTATCAGTTATTCCGCACCAAACGTTTATTTTAAATTTCTGTTGGAAATGGCTTTCAGTTGCTAAAAAAAAATCTCTGCGTGTAAATGAATTGTAGTATTGGGTCGGCGTTTTGCTAAAAGATTTTGAACGGGCGTAAACTAATATAGATAAAAGTTTTCTTGCCAAAAAACTCTACAAACTGCTTTGTGCTCTTCCAGCTCCGGTGTAATCATTTTTCATCGCCTCACAGAATCCCTCTTGGGTCGGAAATTTTAAAATCTGGGCTCTTTCGGTTTGTAAACATGTCGACCTCCGTCTATAAGCGCGACGCCCTTTATAATTCTCTTTTGTGTATAAACAGATCATCGCACATATCCACGTTGGGAAACAAGTTGTAGAGTTTTTTACCAAGAAAAGCTTTATTATCGGAATATATTAACCAAAGCTTTTTAAAAACGCCCATGATACTGACAAACAAAACATCAATTCACGAGAAATTAAAGTATCTTTATCGCATTTGTCAAAGCCTACTTTGAGAGATTTTGCAGGTATTTTAACTTGTTTGTTTTCATCAGAGCCTACTTCGCACTCTTTTACTCTCTTTTATTGTGATTATGTTAGTGAAAGCCTACTTTGAGCTATTTTCAATTAGGTGCAACTAAAATTTCAAATGCAAATTTTTAGAAAACGGCGACTAGTGGCGAAATTTGACGTGTAAAAAAGGTGTAAGGGAAATTTTTATTAAAAATCTGAATTCACTAAGGCGCAAAAAAGTTGGGAAGTATCAAATCGACAAAAAGTACCGTACCTTGCGTCTTCTACAATTTACCCGAAAATTATTCGAGAAAATCGATTTCTCATGTCTATCTATCCCAATTTGCAAAATTTTGCGCAAAAAGCTCGATTATTTCAGGAATTATTTTAAAATAATTTCCTATTTTGCCATGTGCCGTTACCTATGGGCAGCCCGGATATTAATTTACTCACTGTGTCACGAGTTTTAGGGCCCAGAATAATTGGAAAATACTACTCAATAATCAAGCAGCATCTGCTCCGCCTGTTGCATATACAGGGCGTCCTAAAATTAGTGGACCAAACCAAGTTTTCTGTATAAACATGAAAATTGTCTCTTTGAGGATTTTGGTAATATTTACCAAACAGACTGA